GAGATGCTTTTTGGAGTCTATGGCAGGCCCCTACTGGTGCATCACATTGCAGACCCTTAGGATTTTGGAGCAAAGTCCTGCCATCCTCTTCAGATAACTATTCTCCTTTTAAGAAATAGCTTTTGTCTTGTTACTGGGCCTTAGTAGAAACTAAACACTTAACCACGGGACACCAAGTCAGTGTGTGGCCTGAGCTGCCCATCATGAACTGAGGTTGTCTGACCCACAGAGTCATAAAGTTGGATGTGCACAGCAGCACTCCATCATTAAATGGAAGTGGTATATACGAGATCAGGCCTGAGCCGGATCTGATGGCACAAGTAAGTTACATGAGGAAGTGGCCCAAATGCCCATGGTCTTCACTCTTGTCACATTACCTGCTCTCTCCTGGTCTTCACCTATGGCCTCATAGGGAGTTCCATGTGATCAGTCGACTGAGGAAGAGAAAACTCGTGCCTGGTTTACAGACGGTTCTGCGTGATATGCAGGCACGACTCAAAAGTGCACAGTGGCAGCACTACAGCCTCTTTCTGGAACCTCCCTGAAGGACAAAAATTAAGGGAAATTTTCCCAAAAGGCAGAAGTTCGAGCAGTGCACCTGGTTGTTCACTTTGCTTGGAAGGGGAAACGGCCATATGTGGGATTGTATACTGATTCTCGGGCTGTGGCCAATGGTTTGGCTGCATGGTCAGGGACTTGGAAGGAACATGATTGGAAAATTGGAGACAAGGAAGAGGTATGTGGATAAACCTCTCTGAATGGGCCAAAGAAGTGAAGAGATTTGTGTCTCATGTGAATGCTTACCAAGGAGTGACCTCAACAGAGGAAGATTTTAACAGTCAAGTGGGTAGGCTGATGCATTCTGTGGAAACCCATCATTCTCTTTCCCCAGCCACTCCTGTAATTGCCAAATGGGCTCAAGAACAAAGTGGCCATGGTGGCAGGGATAGAGGTTATGCGTGGGCTCAGCAATAGGGGCTTCCACTTACCAAGGTCAGCTTGGCTACAGCCACTGCTGAGTGCCCAATCTTCCAGCAGCAGACACCAACACTGAGTCCCTGATATGGCACCATTCCTTGACGCGACCAGCCAGCAGTCTGGTGGCAGGTTGATTACACTGGACCACATCTATCATGGAAAGGACAGCATTTTGTTCTCACTGGAATAGACGCTTACTCTGGATATGATTTGCCTTCCCTGCATGCAATGCTTCTGCCAAAACTACCATCCATGAACTTACAGAATGTCTTATCCGCCATCATGATATCCCACACAGCATCGCTACAGATCAAAGGACTCACTTCACAGCAAATGAAGTGTGGCATTGGGCCCATGCTCATGGAATTCACTGGCCTTACCATGTTTTCCATCATACTGAAGCAGCTGGCTTGATGGAACGACGGAATGGCCTTCTAAAGACACAATTGCGGTGCCCGCTAGGTGGCAATATCCTGCAGGGTTGGGGCAATATTCTTCAGAAGGTTGTATATGCTCAAAAGCAGGGTCTAATATATGGTGCTGTTTCCTCATAGCCAGGATTCATGGGGTGAGGAATCAAGGGATGGAAATGGGACTGGTAGCACTCACTATTACACCTAGTGACCCACTCACAATGTGGTTGGTAGTGCTCTTCAGATCTTCTGTGTCATTACTAATTTTCTGCTTATTTTTTATGAATTACCTGTGGAAGAATGTTAAAAATCTCGAGCTCTGATTATGAATTTGTCAGTTTCTCCGTCTAATTTTATTGGTTGTTGCTTCCTGCATTTTGAAGCTCTGTTATTAGACACATTGTCATTTGTGATAAAACTGATGCTTTTATCATTATGGAATGTCCTCATTTATCCCTGATAATGCTACTTGTTTTGAAGTCTGTTTTATCTGATATTGTTATAGTCACTCCAGCCTTCTTGTACTTATTGTCAGCATGGTAATTCTTTTTCTATCCTTTCACTTCAACTAACTTGTATTTTTATGTTTAACGTGTGTTCCTTATAGATAGCATGTAATAGGGACTTGTTTTTTTCAAAGGTTTTAAAAATGTCCTTCTGTTGTCTCCTGCCCTCCATTGTTTTCTGATGAGAAGTCAGCTGTGTTACACATCGTTGTTCCCTTTTACGTATCGAGTCATATTTTTCCCTCTGGCCATTTCTTCTTTATCTTTAGTTTTCAGCAGTTTGATTGTGATGTGCTTAGATGTGTTGTCTTAGTCATCTAGTGCTGCTATAACAGAAATACCACAGGTGGATGGGTTTAACAAAGAGAAATTTATTTCTTTATGGTAAAGTAGGCTAGAAGTCCAAATTCGGGGCAACAGCTCCAGGGGAAGACTTTCTCTGTCAGCCTTCTCATCAATCTTCCCCGGGACTAGGAGCTTCTCCATGCAGGGACCCTGGGTCAACAGGATGCTCTCTGCTCCCGGCACTGTTTTCTTGGTGGCATGAGGTCCCCTAGTCTCTGCTTGCTTCCCTTTCCTTTTATTTCTTGTAAGATAAAAGGTGGTGCAGGTCACACCCCAGGGAAACTCCCTTTACATTGGATCTGGGATGGGACTTTAGTAAGGGTGTTAACAATCCCACCCTAATCCTCTTTAATATAATATTACAGTCACAAAATGGAGGATGTAATGTGAGCCATGACGTGTTTTTCTTTGTATTTGCCCTTTTTGAGGTTTACTGAGCCTCTTGTGTCAGTTTTTTTATCTTTTTATTTTAAACAAATTTATGGATTTTTCAACCATAATTTCTTCAAATACCCTTTTCTGTCCTCTCTTGCTGTGACTCCCATTAGGGGTATATTAGACTGCTTATATTGTCCCATATGTCACATAGGTTGTGTTCATACTTTTTTCAGTTTCTTTTTCTCTCATCTTCAGATCAGATAATTCCTATTTATTTAATGATAATATTCTCTGACATCATCCCCAATCGGCTTTTATGCACATCTGGTGAATTGTTTATTTGAGATGTTATACTTTAAAATTCTATAGTTTTCATTGAATTCTTTTTATATCATTCTTTTTTTTAAATTACAAGGTATCTGTTCATGCATTATAGGCCTGTTTTCCTTTAGTCCTTGGACATGTTTACAAAAGCTATTTAAAATTTCTTAATCTACTAATTCCAAAATCATGAGGTGAGTTGCTATTGAGTTCCTTTTACTTATGTACTGGCTGCATTTCCCTGTTTTGTTTTTTACATATTCAGCAGTTTTTTTTGTTGTATTCTAGATGTTGTACATGATACATAGTGAAGAGTTTTGATTTTGATATGTGCCTTTCAAAAGTGTTTTTTTTTTTTTTTTTTTTTTTTTTTTATCAGGTGTTTAATTTGGCTAGCATGAAACTCCAAACTCTTTCTTCCCTGTGGAGGGCTGAGGCTGACATCTCTGTTATTCTTCAGTTTCCCGGGTGTTGTTTTCTATTAGTTTACTTGGAGTCACACATACATGCGGACACAGACACATACACACATGTGCTCTCTCTCACACACACACATCCCAGGGGTCAGAACACTCTTTTTATGCAGATTTGGGAATTCTTCCCTCTGTAGATCCCTGCTTTCCAGATTTCCCACCTCATTTTTAAGCCAATTTGAGGTCCCTAAAATCCCTGTATAACTTCAAATTTCTGCTTGAGTTTTAGCAACCCCAAATCTATACTGTTGTGGAGTACCCTTGGGTAGAAAGCCAAACAAACAGAAATCTCTAGCAATGTTGTTCACTCCCTCTGGGGAGCCACTGGTCGGTGTTGAGCAGGGAAATACCAGTGTCAGACTTTCCTTCTGGGGAGCCCACCCTGGCCTCAGTGGAGAACATATGGGAGTTGTTGATGTGAGAAACTGGACATCCAGGAGGTGACAATAAGCCTGAAGTAAATGAATAGCTGAGGGTATGAGAGGAGGGAACATTTTCAAGCAATGTTCATGAGGTTTTACTTGTAGGCTTTGGTGATAAGTTGGATGAGAGGGAAGCAAGATGTAACAGAGTATCGTGTGCTCATTGAACAAATATTTTTTCAGTGGCTGCTTCAGCTCATTGGCCAGGAGCTCCCAATGTGACAGTGAGCCAGAGAGGCAAAGCTTTGCCACACGGAGCCCCCATCCAGGTACTCGGGGTGGTTGAGGTAGCTGAGTGGGCGTTTTAGCATGCACTGAGGAAAACACACCGGGAGCACTTTGCGGGATGGCTCTGAGTTCAGGCTTGGGCACGCTGAGTTGGAAGGGCCTGTAGCTCATCAAGGCAGAAAGCTACCGAAGGACTTGAGGTTCCCAGATCTGGGGTTCAGGAGCGGTCTTCTGGAGGGATGGAACTGAGAGATGTCAAAGTGAGGGCAGCTTCAGCCATGGGGTGGGAGTGGTGGGCCACAGTGAGCAGCAGCACTCACAGTGCGGGGTGCTCCGAGAACCCCTGCAGCACAAACTCAGGGCTAGAAAAGGGCTAGAAAAGATTCCATGCACGCTGAAGGGGGGACTAGAGGAAGCGCCCTGCCCCAAAATGGATGAGAAGCAGCAGCTACTGAGGGTGTGGATCTTAGTCAGGGCTGCGAGGGGAGCCACCTCAAGAGGCCACCTCTGAGTGTGCAACAGCTCAGCCCAGACAGAGAAGGCTGCAGGAGCAGGAGGAGCCGCAGGGCAGGGCAGTGCTGTCTTGACTGCAGGTGGGTAGGAGAGCAGCTGGCTGCTGTGGGAGGGGTCTACTGAGCATACCTGTGTGTTTTTGTGGGTGGGAGGAGGGAAGGAGAGCAGGCATCTGAACACAAACCTAGAGGACAAAAGATTCTCACAGTGGAAAATGAAGGAAAAGTAGAGGTAGGCGAGGAGATGCGGTTTGGAGAGTGATGGAGACTGGAGGTTAAGAAGATAAACGGGCTCCCTTTGGGAAAACAAATTCACCCCTTCCCTTTCTGGTCACCCGTAAACGCATGATCTGACGTAAGCATCATGTAACTCCTTTTTAGAGATCTGCAGGTTTTCGGGAGGGACAGCCAGCCCTCGTGCGCCATGGAGCCTAGCAGGACATCCAAGTCCAACCAGACGCTGGTGACCGAGTTTGTGCTGCAGGGGTTCTCGGAGCACCCCGCACTGCGAGTGCCGCTGCTCAGCTGCTTCCTGGCGCTCTACGCTGTGGCTCTCACGGGCAACGCTCTGATCGTCGCCATCGTGGGCTGCAGCGCCGGTCTCCATAGCCCCATGTACTTCTTCCTGTCCAACCTGGCCACCATGGACATCATCTGCACCTCCACGATCCTGCCCAAGGTGCTGGCGGGACTGGCCGCGCAGGAAAACACCATCTCCTATGCGGGCTGCATGGCCCAGCTCTTCTTCCTCCTCTGGTCCGGGTCCTCTGAGCTGCTGCTGCTCTCGGTCATGGCCTTCGACCGCTACGTGGCCATCTGCCGTCCCCTGCACTACAGCGGCATCATGAGCCCGCGGGTGTGCGCGGCGCTGTCCGGGGGCGTGTGGGGCCTGTGTGTCCTGAACGCCGCAGTCCACACGGGTCTGACGGCGAGGCTGAGCTTCTGCGGCCCCCGTGTCATCACGCACTTCTTCTGCGAGATCCCCCCGCTGCTGCTGCTCTCCTGCAGCCCGACGCGTGTAAACAGCATCGTGACGGTCCTGGCTGACGGCTTCTATGGCTTCACCAACTTCTTGCTCACCCTGGTCTCCTATGGATGCATCATAGCCAGCATCCTGCGCATCCGCTCAGCGGAGGGCAAGCGCCGGGCCTTCTCTACCTGCTCCTCCCACCTCATCGTGGTCTCTGTGTACTACACGGCTGTGTTCTGCGCCTACATCACCCCGGCCTCCAGCTACAGCCCTGAGAGGAGCAAAGTGGCCGGGGTGCTGTACACGGCGCTGAGCCCCACCCTGAACCCGTTGGTCTACACGCTGCGGAACGCCGAGGTCCAGCGCGCCCTGGGCCAGCTCCTCCCTTTCCCCCGACGTGGAACTGTGAACTGAGAGCGAGAGCGGTTCTCTCAACCCTGCTCGTGGACGCCTGGCCGAGATGACCCTTGTGTGGGCACCAGCCAGGGGTGCAGCTTCGCCGGGTGGGTGGTTTGCTTGGACTTGTGGCCGGTGCTCCCCTAGCAGACTGAGTCCCGTGACAAGTGAGTCTGTGGATAGAGCTCCTGTGGAAAACGTGGCATGGGGGTGGCTCCTCATGGGCCCCTGACCCCTACAACTGGCCCCAGGACTTTCTTGACTTAGTTCTCCTTAGCTGTCTCCTTCTCCCACGCCCTCAAGCTCTAACTGAAAGAGGCACCGCCCACAGGCACCTGCATCTCACTGCCCACACCTGCACTGGGTCTCTGCCCAGACCTGTCCCAACTCAGTCCCATTCAGCTGAATGCCACCTCCTCTGGATCTTCAGTTCTCTTCCCGCCTAGCTCCTTGCTCTGCTTCTGGGACTGGGGCACCCAGGCCTCTGCCAGCTGGGGTCCCATCCGACTGGGAACTCTAAGTCTACGTAGCCATATCCTGTCTTTTCCACAAGATCTGAGTTCCTTCTGTCTCTGTCCCTGTCTGGACTTGGTGTTTCACAGACTATTAATGAGTCTGGTTATGACCCTGCCCCAGGGGCTCCCTCCACACAGTGTCTGAGGGTGCACCGAAGGCAGTCATCTCTATCCTAGTGACTTTACCACAGAGCAGGCAGGTCTGAGTGCAGGATCCCAGAGCCCTCCAGTGACTGGTGGTCCTGTAATAGTTTTTCTCTTAAAATGCTGTCTTGACTCAGTTTGGGGCTCTGGCTGGAGGCTGGTTCCCCTTCTTGAGCAGCTGATTAAGTCCACGCCCCACCACTCCTCTTGTTGGGTTCTCATACTCCTGGGCCACTCTGCACCTGCCCTAATCACCCAGGGCCAGGTACCCAACACCTAGGGACAGCCCCTATGCTCTGGAGCCTGAAGAGTTATTCAAAATGTCCAATCCTCCGGGGAGCCCAGAAACCTAGCTAACCCCTCAGCTGTACATAAGCCACCTCCTTCAGTTCCAGCTTGTTGTGACTGTCTCCCTGTGCAGCCTACTGCGTGGTCCTACCTGCGGCCTCTCTCCCTTGAAACTTTTAGTGACAACCAGTCTACCTTTCATCCATCCAAGAATCTTGTGTTGTGTCCCACCACCCAGAGAACCCAGGACCCTACCTGACACCAGAGGAGTATGAACAAGTCGGCCAGGGAGGCAGTGCTGGACCTGGGTCTCACACCTTTAAGCGCCTGTAAAGAACCATTCAGGTCTAGTTGGAAGGGCTGGCTGTGTTCTCCCCCTGTGAGTTCCTCTGATCCTTCCTCACCACTCGAGGACGCTCCATATCCAGAATGCCCATTTCAGTTTTGGATCAGTGTCACCACCAGGGCCAGAGACTCTTCACGTGGGCCAGGCTCTAGGACCTGACTCCCCTCCCCATCACTCTCTCTGAGCATGCCCCCCTAGTACCTCCACATGTCCTCTGAGTGTTGCATGACATGACCCACATGCCCACGTGTCCATCTCCCCATTTGTAGCCAACACAGATCCTTGGCTGTGGCTGCACCAGTTTCTTCATGAACCTCTTAAAGAGCTCTTTCACCCCTATTTCATAAAAGCTGTGCTGTCCAGCTCAGAGCTGTGATATTGGATCCATGATCACCTGAGCCAGGTGGAAAGGCTTTGGGGTGGCTAATTATGCTCAGTGTGGTGGGAAGGGCATACAGGGGCTGGGAGTGTCCACTGTCGGACCCTGGAGTGAATGTCTTACGCCAATTGCTTGGCTGATTTTTCTCTCAATATCAAACAATACATAGGCCATGGATGGACCTGGAAAACATGATGCTGAGTGACATAAGCCAGACACAAGAGGACACATATTGCATGATCCCATTGATAAGAAATGTCTAGAATAGGCAAGTGCATAGAGATAGAAAGTAGATTGTAGGGTACCATGGCCTGGGAGGAGGTGGGAGTGAAGAGTTATTGTTTACTAGGCACAGAGTTTCTGCTTTGGGATGACAAGGTTTTGAAAACAAATAGTGGTAATGGTTGTGTAACACTGTGAGTATGATTAATTCCACTGGATTGTACACTTGTGAATGGTTAAAATGGCATATTTTACATTATGTATATTTTACCACAATTTAAAAAAAGATAATAAGAAAATAGTAATGGAAATTAAGTATTAAAAATTGATTGATTTGGCATAAACTTACCATATGACCCAACAATCACTCAAAAACCTGTACACAAATGTTTGTAGCAACACTATGCAAAGTTTCTACAAACTGGAAACAACCAAATATCTTTCAGCAAGTGAACAACAAATTTTTCATTCATACAATGGGACACAATAATCACAATAAAAAGAATGAACTATTGATACAGACAACTCCTTGAACCACCTCGGAGGCATTTTGCTAAGTGAGAGAATCAAGGACCAACAGGTTACACTCTGTTTGATCCCAGTTAAGTAACATTCTTCAAACCACACGGTTGGGTGCAGATCATAGTTGCATGGGGTTACGGGTGGGGGGTTGTGGGACCATAAGCAGTAGCTCCATGGTGTGTTTTGAGGTGATGGAACTGTTTTATATTTGATTATAGTGGTGGTGGTTGTTGTTAGGTTCCATCGAGTCAGTTCTGACTCATACCAACCCTCTGTACAACAGAACAAAACACTGCCCGGTGCTGCGTTATCCCCACAGCCGTTTTTACGCTTGAACCCATTTTTGCAGACACTGTGTCAGACTATCCCATTGAAGATCTTCCTCTATTAGGCCGACCCT